TTCGGACAATGGTATGTTAGAAAATGTTTAGCAGCTGGCTCCCCACGGGAAATAGCCTTAATTTGTAGCACTTGCCAATTCCTGTGTGTAAAAACTCCCATGACGGCCAACTCTGAGCAACTGGTGTGATGTCACTGCACCTAAAGTTAGGAAGTGATTAGAATTTGCTCTTGAAAGCAGTTCCAGGCTGCTCCTGTACACTATTAAATTGGAACTTATTTCCAAACCTTTGTTTCTTTACAGTAAAAACCATGGGGCCCGTGAGGGTCAAACTAAGCCCAGCATAGTGGGAACTTCAGAGAGGTAGATTTTGGCTTCCAAGAATCACTCTGCAAAGCTGGATAGGTGTGGGTGGAATTTGGCTGGTACTTGGCCTCTGATTCTGGCCATCTGGTTATCTGTCTTTTTCCCTAGAAGTGTGAATGGCTGCCAGACATTAGCTAGGGAGTGGAGAGCAGGGCAAATAGATCATGATCTGTTGTGTTTGACAAATAGATGGTAAGTTCTGGGCCATACATCTGGCAGAAGATGGTATATAGGCCCTCAGAGGGTATGAGTGACCTCTATCCTGCTTATCCTCTCTTTGACTTCTCCCTGTCTACTAAGCCTGGTTGAGCTGCAGGCCCCTTCCACACAACAATCCCAGAATTGTGCCCTCTGCTCTGTCTCTGCCCAGGCTTGTCATCCCCCCAAAGAACCAGTGCATTGATAGCTCCTCTTTCTAGGTCTTCAGCACATAACATTCTTACCAACCACAGTTAACAACCTAACACACACAGAGGGTTTGATCTTCCTGAAATCCACCTCTGACCCTTGTTCTTCTGCTTAAGATTTCCTTCCTTGCTTCTTGCATACCCAAAGACAAAGACTAGTCTCCTTACCCCTTTGTTGGACACTCCATATTATTTCTGCTCTTTTTTTTTTGATGGTACTGCTAGAATATTGTTTTATTTTTCTCTCCTTTTATTCTATCATTTTCACATTTACTTACATGTGTATCATTGTTTGTGCCCTCTCATCCCCCAAACCTCCCACTTCCAGACAGAACCTGTTTCCCTCTTCTCCAGTTTTGTTGCAGAGAAAACAAAAGAAATAATAAGAAAGACATATTGTTTTTGCTAGTTTGGGATAAAGATAGCTATGCAGAGAGATTCCTAGCATTGCTTCCTTGCACTTGTGTATTGCAACCTGCATTGGTTCATTTCTACCAGACCTCCTTGCTGCTTCCTGGTTCTCTTCCCAAAGTGACCTCTGTCAATTTATGATTACTTTATTGAGATTACTTTGTTAAGATTACTCTTCAACAGGGAGCAGATCAACCACATTCAAGTTTTAGGTTTCCTTTCCTTTCCCTTTTTCCCATGCGTGTTCTCCCTTTAGTGTGTGATCCATGTCCAATAATATTACTGCATTTGTTTTGGGCCTATAATCTGCATATGAGGGAGAACATGTGAATTTTTGGACTTCTGAGCCTGGATAACTTCACTTAAGATGATGTTCTCTAGTTCCATCCATATACTTACAAATGATAAATTTCATTCTTCTTTGTGCTTGAGTAAAATTCCATTGTGTATAAATACCACATTTTCTTGATCCATTCATCTGTTGTGGGGCATCCTGGCTGTTTCCAGAGCTTGGCTATTGTAAATAGTGCTGCAATAAACATGGGTGTGCAGGTGCTTTTGTAATAACTTGAGTTTCATTCCTTCGAGTGCATTCCTAGGAATGGTATTGCTGGATCTTATGGCAGATCTATGTTTAGTTTCTTAAGAAGCCTCCATAATGTTTTCCAAAGTGATTGTACTAGCTTACATTCCTGCCAGCAGTGTATGAGGGTTCCTTTTTCCCAAGCATCCTTGTCAGCATTTGTTTTTGCTATTCTTGATGATAGCCATTCAAACAGGGGTGAGGTGGAACCTTAATGTGGTTTTGATTTGCATTTCCTTTATGGCCAAGGATGATGAGCATTTTGTAATGTGTTTTTTTGGCCATTTGGATTTCTTCTTTAGAGAAAGTTCTGTTTAGTTCAGATGCCCACTTTTTTATTGTCTCATTGATTTTTGGTAAGATTAGTTTTTTGAGCTCTCTGTATATTCTGGTTATCAGCAAGGATTTTCTCTGACACTGTGGGTGGTTTCTTCAATTTAGAGACCATTTCTTTTGTTGTTCATAAGCTTTTTAATTTCATGCAGTCCCATTTGTCCATCTTTTCTCTCAGTTGCTGAGCTGCTGGAGTTTTACTGAGGAAGTGCTTGCCTATTTCTATTGTTTCCAGGGTATTCCCTGCTCTTTCATGTACTAACTGTAAGGATTCAGGTCTGATATTATGGTCCTTAATCCACTTTGAGTTGATGCTAGTACAGGGTGACAGGCATGGATCTAATTTCAGTTTTCTGCAGGCAGATAGCCACTTTTCCCAGCACCATTTGTTGAAGAGGCTATTATTTTTTCCATTGTATGTTTTGGTGCCTTTATCAAAATATGTTGGGCATAGCTGTGTGGATTTATATCTCGGTCCTCTATTCTGTTCCACTGGTCTTCATACATATTTTTGTGCCAGTATTATGCTGTTTTTATTGCTATGGCTCTGTAGTATAGTTTGAAGTTTGAGTATTGGGATACCTTCAGCATTGTTCTTTTTGCTTAGTATTGCCTTGGCTATTTGCAGTTTTTTGTGTTTCCAAATGAACTTTAAGGTAGATTTTTCAATCTCTGTGATGAATGTTATTGGGATTTTGATGGGAATTGCATTGAACATGTAGATTGCTTTTGGTAGTATAGCCATTTTTACTATGTTGATTCTACCAATCCATGAGCACGGGAGATCTTTCCATCTTCTGTAGTCTTCCTTGATTTCTTTCTTCAGTGCATTGTAGTTCTCTTTGAAGAGGTCATTTATGTCCTTCATTAAGTTTACTCCTAGGTGTTTAATTTTTTTTTGAGGCTATTGTAAATGGAATTATTTTTCTGTGTTCTTTCTCAATTTGTTCATTGTTGGTATATAGAAAGGCCACTGATTTTTGTAAGTTCATTTTGTATCCTGCTACACTGCAATCTGTTTATGGTGTCTAGAAGTTTTGGGGTGGTAAGGCCAATCCTATTTTTTAAACTCAAGGCAGTAAATTCATGTTGTGCTGTAGAAGGGGGGAATAAAGAAAATGGATGCTGTGAACTCATTCAATCAATGTCCACTTTATTCACTTAACCCTCTCTAGGCTAGCCCTACTTGCTTCCAGGTGAATCCCATATGGTCTTACCAGGGATCATGGCTGTTTCATCCAGTTGGCACCCCCTCAGGCTCTTCCCCAAACACTCCTTTCACCACAATACCAAGCTGGGACCGTGCTGATGCACAAATTCACTATAAAGTATGGAAGTCTGCAGTTCCCTTATTTTCTGACTGGGGTGAATTGCATTTTAAATGGAGCATCAGTATGTTGATCCAATAAAATGAAGCACAGATGTAGGATTTCAGGAAGTGTGACAGATCAATGGAGAAGTTCCACTCATCATATTCTGTTCTTGCTTTCTCTGCCTATGGGTAGAACTAGATATGCTACCTCCTTAACAGGGAGGAGGCTTAGTCTTCTCTGCCAGAAGGGGCGAGGAGGTCATGATGACATTTCACCATTCTCTGAGTCATTACTTGCCATCTGAGTTCTGAGATCTGAGTTCCAAGTCCACATGTGTCCTGGTTTACTCTTCCCACCTCCCTACCACACTTGGTCTTTGCTCTCCTCTCCCTGCTGGGAAGCTGGCTTCCACAGACTGACTCCCATAGGATCCCTTGCATTCTCATTTCTGGTTGGAGTTGACTTATAGGAGACACCAGTAAGAGACAGAAGATAGGAGAGAAAAGGGTTTGGGACATTACTTCTTGGTTCCTTTCCTGTGCCAGCATCACTTATCATCCTGTTCCCCATAAATGCAGCTTCCACCAGGTTCTTGGAAGACTATTCTTCTCTTAGTTCCTTAAGCCTAGGAGTATTGATGGATTTCCTGCTCTTGCTGGTCTCTGGATCCCATCTTGTTTGATGCCTCATAGTTCTGACTATCCTTCTGAAAGGAACCTTGCATCCAAGTTTCATCTGAAACACCTGAAGTGAATTCTGTGTTCTGCTGGGGCTCTGACTGATACAACCCAACACTGAAGAGAGGAACAGAAGACACCCTCTGGAAAGGCAGGTCCCTTGGTCAAGTTTGTTCTTCAAGAACCCTGTCCTGTGGCATTGAGGACAGCTACTGCCTTGCTGTGCAACTCTGGACATTTCCCTACCCCTCTCTGGGCCTAAGTAACTCCATCCAAGAAGGATTAAATTTGATGATCTTTTCTAATCACTCTGAAGACAATATTCTATGTTCCTAAGTGTCGAATGTGTACTATAGTTTTAGGGGTACAGTTAACCCTTTTCTGACCCAGGAGCTCCCTTCTGGGGCTGTAATTTCATCCCTGAAGGTGCCTCACAAAATAGGAGTTGAAGCATCATGAACCTGGCAAAAATGAAGGGGACTTCATTTTTGAATGAAGGGCTTTCTTATAAGAAAGCACAGGCAAACCAAGCCTCAGTTTCATTATTTGGGAAATAGGACAAAGAGTGAGCACCTATTATTTCCTTGTTGATGTTTGGGTTAAAAGAGATAGTGTGTTAAAAAGTCCCTTAAACATACAAGGTGCTTATAGGAAATGGAAGTTCTTATTATGGCAATGACTACACCTAGAATTGCCCTCTATTTTCTCCTCCAAGAAACCTTGGTGGGCTTCTTTGAATCCCTCTACCTTGTTTCTCTTCAGACAAGTTTGGGAGAAGCTAGCCAGTCCTCCTCCTCTGTTGTCTATGAATTTTGAGATTGCTATCTCCACCCTATGGCCCAGCCTAGGCTGCTGCTGTCTGCAGGGCATGGCTGGGGGTGGGAACTGGCAGGATGCCTAGGTTTAGAGTTTAAGAAAACCCAGGGGCTTCTGGAGGCAGCCTGGAGCCTGGGCACTGCAGCTTGCATCCATGGTGCTGGGCTTCTTCTCTCTGAGGCTCTCCCACCTGTGGGCTTCTGCAGTGATCTTATTCATAGGCTTTCTCAAGCTCCCCCGCTTGCTGCTGAGGAGGCAGAAGTTGGCCAGGGCTATGGACAGCTTCCCAGGACCCCCCTCCCACTGGCTCTTTGGGTATGCCCACGAGGTATGTAGAGAGAGTTAGAGAAAGGAGCCAGCTTCCCTTCCTTTAGAGAATCAGGCTGAATCCCCTGAAGGCTCGGGAGGGAGGTGATCCACTTAGGCAGAGGCAATCTGCTCTCCCACTGTATTGCTCCCTAACTCCTACCATTCATACTGGTTTCAGAAGCAGACAGCACTTCAAAGTTGGAGCCCAAGAAGACCACAAATGCCTTCCCAACTTTTGGAGGGCTAATGTTCAGACTATGGTATGCCAGAGGCTTGGTTATGGCATAGGGAGGAAACCAAATTCACATAGTTTGACAGAACTAGACAATCATGTTTAGAGCTTCACCAGTGTTGTTTTGACCTGTGAAGTAAAGATTCCATTACTAAGGAATAAAACAAAGGTAAAGGTAGACATAAGTGCTATCTCATGGGAATGAGGATACTCGCTTCCAGATTGGGAAATAGGGGGTTCAGGAGCCATGTCATCTTCCTGGGTTCAGATCCTGCTTCATCCTGCTGTTTCAGCAACCTAGTGGGACCACCTTAGCATCTATTCTCATGAACTCCTCCTACCATGGAGATCCAAATAGCCATTTTTGAATACAAGGCAGGGGAGTGGGTCAACTGGGAGAAGCAGATTTCTGGGCCCACAGAGAAATTCTAATTTGTCAGATGAACTAGGAGTCTAACACCCTTTTCCCAACCATAAGTGTTTATACCTGAAGCCAGGTTTGGGAACTCCAGTACAGATGCCAGAGATGAAGGCTCAGAGAGGGGATAATTTCTTCTCCTACTTCTTGAATCCACTTTCTTCACCCTCTATCTGGGGAATTGCCTCTCCTCTGTGATTGACACTGGGCATGAACTTGACCTCTAGGCTTATCTTTCCCCTTACAGATAACCCTCCAGGGATAGCCTAGTAACCTATCTCTATCCTGGGAATATCTAAGGTCAGAAAGGGTGGATTGGAGAGAGAATTGGACCCTGCCTATGTTTTCAAGGAAGTTACTGTCTAGAAGACAAATAGAAACCAGAGCCTTCCCTCTCCCCATGCCTCCCCAGGATTCCACATCAGCTCCATTTTTTTCATCTCAGCACTTGTTCCTCTCTCCTACTAGTCTGTAGACTCTGGAGGATGGAGATCTGGTCTGATTCATCCTTGTGCCCTAAAAGTGCAGCTCAAAGCCTGCTATAGACCAGGCATTGCTGAATGAATGAACAGAGAATGTCTGAGTATGGAGGGACATCCACAGAGGACAGAGTGATGGAGAAGATAAGTGGAGGTATCAAGGTGGGGTTTGGGAGGGTCTTTGCTGAGTATGGAAGCAGAGTCAAGGGAAGATTGAAATCTGACCCTAATGGAATATGTGTGGTATTTAGGGAAACTTTCAATCTTTTCCTCTTTTTTTTTAGGTCATTACTTAAACTATTTATTTATATTATTTTTATTTGAATAATTAATTTGTTTGAGTGTTTCTTTCTTTATTAATGTTTTTATTAGTACTATATTTATACAGGGGAATTTGTTGTGACGTTTCCACATATACAGGTATTATACACTGGTTTTGTTTATCGTCTCTGTTTTTCTCCCTCTTCCATCACCCATCCTTTTCTGCTGTGCCCCTCACTTCTACCTGCCCTCAGCCAAGTTTTTCCTAGGACAGGGATCTTACTCCCCCACATCTTCATGCAGGAACTGGCTGAGCTCTTCACCTCAGTTGTTCTTGCCCTCATCTTGGGAGTGTACTAAAAGCCTGGATTGCAGCCTAGCTCTGGCTTTCTGGCACCAGCACAACTATCTGGAGGGCTTTTGCCTGACACCAGGAAGGGAGTGCAAGGATTAGACGGGTGCTCTTGAGTACTACAAAGGTTTCCTGGGGAACCATTTGACACCAGTGGGACAACACCACCCTGCATTCCTCCAGAGCTTGGCACCTCTGCTGTTGGTTGAATCCACACCTGAACCTGAGCCAGGAGAAGGGCAGGGTAGGGATTAGTTTCCCTAATGTAACAATGACGAAGTTGAAATTCAAAGGGGTGAGGTGTTTACTTAAATCCATATAACAAGTAGCTTAGGAGTCAAGTCAAAGCTGGGCCCAGGAATCCTACATTTTAATTCAGAATATGATAAGTCCATAAAAAGTAACTGAAAGTTGATCCCTACACCCATTTAGAATGAGCATTGGAAGAGAAGGAAGAATATTGGTGGGCAATGATTTTGGGGGTATGAAAGAGCTATCCATCAATATTAATTTCTTCTTTCTTGGCCTCCAGTTATAGTGTGGAGGCCCTGGTAGCATCTACCTGTCATCTTACTCAATTTTAAGAATGTGTCCCCTTGAGGCAGGGCAGATCCTATTCTTCTGGGATCTTTCTCTCTCCACTCTGGGGCTTGAGGAAGACTTTGCACATAGCAAGAACTCATTGTAGGTCTAAGTTTACAGCCTCTGGGAGGGCTGACAAATCTGACCTCTGTGTGTGTGTGTGTGTGTGTGTGTGTAGCAAGGAATACTATTTCCCAGCCCAAGGAAAGGTGATCCCTTGAGATTTCTGAGGCCTCCTCACTGGCCCTACCCATTGCTAGAAGTCCCCTTGACTTTGTGTTGGATAATGAGGACTCTTGGTCACTATATTTAGTACACATTGATCATGGGCTTTTGCTGGGTAAGTCATTTGTACTTCCATTTTCTTCTTGATAAAATGGAGAAATCATCTTTACTTTTCTAGGTTATAAGAGAATCAAAAGGGATAAAGTACAGAGACTTAGCAAACTGCTCAGCAGACAGATGTCAACTGTTAAATCATTGTAGGGGAATTCTTGATGCCAAACATCCTGATACCTTGGTTTCTTTTGTTCTCTCTTGCTTTCATATCAAGCTGGTCTTTATTCCTTTTTTCTCAAGCAACTAGCTGATAAATAGCTCCATAAGGAGGCAGGGTGGCCAGGATGGAGTGCAAATAGGAGACAGGGTGCCAAAGTAGAGGACAAACAGGAGAAGGGCTAGGGTAGAGGGTAAATTATCAGTAGAGGGCCAGGGAAGGGGGCAAATAGGGGAGAAGAAAGTCAGGGTGGCGGACAAATAGAAGGCAGGGGACCAAGGTGGAGGTGATACAGGGAGATGTTGAGGAGTAAGCTAGTGGAATAGGGAGGAGTGAGCAGTAAAGTAGGCCAGGTCTTGGTGTGGAAGCAGAGGAGAGGGAAAAGGCATCAAGGCCTCTGCCATAGATATGAGAGTGTCAGTGAGTTCCTTTTTATCTACTAGGAAAAAAGAGTCAAAGGTTGCCCTTGGCTTTGTTAAATTGAGACATCAGAGCAGAATTTGGCAATGCCACCTGAAAGCAGAAAAGAACTTTGAGCCACAAGAATGAGATTTGGGGGATTTAATCAAAAGAAATGAATTTCTTTTTTTTTTATTTTTTTTTTTTTTCTTTTATTATTCATATGTGCATACAAGGCTTGGTTCATTTCTCCCCCCTGCCCCCACCCCCTCCCTTACCACCCACTCCACCCCCTCCCGCTCCCCCCCCTCAATACCCAGCAGAAACTATTTTCCCCTTATCTCTAATTTTGTTGTAGAGACAGTATAAGCATTAATAGGAAGGAACAAGGGGTTTTGCTGGTTGAGATAAGGATAGCTATACAGGGCATTGACTCACATTGATTTCCTGTGCGTGGGTGTTACCTTCTAGGTTAATTCTTTTTGATCTAACCTTTTCTCTAGTACCTGTTCCCCTTTTCCTATTGGCCTCAGTTGCTTTTAAGGTATCTGCTTTAGTTTCTCTGCATTAAGGGCAACAAATGCTAGCTAATTTTTTAGGTGTCTTACCTATCCTCACCCCTCCCTTGTGTGCTCTCGTGTTTATCATGTGCTCATAGTCCAATCCACTTGTTGTGTTTGCCCTTGATCTAATGTCCACATATGAGGGAGAACATACGATTTTTGGTCTTTTGGGCCAGGCTAACCTCACTCAGAATGATGTTCTCCAGTTCCATCCATTTACCAGCGAATGATAACATTTCGTTCTTCTTCATGGCTGCATAAAATTCCATTGTGTATAGATACCACATTTTCTTAATCCATTCGTCAGTGCTGGGGCATCTTGGCTGTTTCCATAACTTGGCTATTGTGAATAGTGCCGCAATAAACATGAAAAGAAATGAATTTCTATATCTGCATTGAAACATGTGGGGATCTGAGGCATTGGAAGGGAGGTTCAGAGGTTGGGACACCTATCAGTATCCAGGAATGGGAGTTTCTAATACTAGATTTAGAAAATTTGATGCTGAAGCCTCCTCCTGGTTGCTGCTGTATCTGGTTCTCTTAGCTCTGGTGGGCCTGCAGCAGTAAAGGCCAGCCTTCACAAGGCACCTTTTTGATATCACTGTAAACCATGGAGAAAACCATATTCTGTATTTCCAGTTAGTATTGAGATGGGTAGCAATTTCATTCCTTGGGACAGAATGAGGGGCAGATTTAGGGGGCAAACATGATATATATAAACACATGTGTATGAACTTGAGTCTCAGTATCCTGGGTCTGAGGATGTCATGTAGAGATGTCTGTGGGTGTTGATGTTTGGGAGTCTCAGGATAATGATCAGCTGAGATGAGATGTTGAGTGAGGAAGAAAGGTAGCAAACGTGGGCATGGGAGAAGGTGAGAGCCTCCAGAGAGAAGGTGCAGGACAGAAAGAGGCCCAAGGTAAGACTTGGAGGAGCATCATCCTTGAGGACGCACAATGAGGGAGTAGACACTGAGAGGGGCATCAGGAGACAAGGAGGACATCCAGAAAAGAGCAAGAAGGAGTCAACTGTGTCACGGCAGCTAGTAGTTGTCAGCATTTAACACCAGGGAGGGTACTGGACATATCAGCAGGAGCAAGTGGTATGATGGGAACTGAAGTGGGAAGAACTCCTTTGAGAAGTTAGGTTATGAGCCAGTGATAGTGCATACCTATAATCTCAGCACTTGGGAGGCAGAGGCAGGTGGATGAATAGTTGTAGGATAGCCTGGGTTACATAGCAAGACCCTGTCTCAAAGAAACAAACAACAAAAAACAACACTGAACCCCCCAGAAAAAGTAACAACAAAAGAAGATGTTTCTGAAGGAAGGAAGAAGGCCGGTCTCAGTTGACAAGGAGGGGTTGGGGGTGGAACTAATGAAGTTTTGTTTCCTTTTTAAATTTCTCATCTCTCTCTCTCTCTCTCTCTCTCTCTCTCTCTCTCTCTCTCTCTCTCTTTCTCTCTGCAATTGGGAGAGACTGGATCACATTTTAAATGTTGGTAGGAGAGGAAGTACTCCAAGGGGGTTGGATAGGCCTGGAGGACTTTACTAGACTGGTGGAGAGGCTGAGTGCAGGCCAGGTGGTTGTGCAAGTCTTGTGGCTGACTTTTGGGCTTTCTTATCTGATGGTGTCTACCTTCTCTGCAAGGTGGAGCAAGAGTCATCAGCTGAGAGTGGGAATCAGAGGAGTAGGGGGGCAGTTGGGAAAAGAGAAATTTTTGAGAGGCAGATTATGGATAATGCTACGGAACTTTCTAAAAGGTGTTTCTGCTGATCTCTGTTTAAATAGCACCTCAGGGAGGCCTTCCCTGACCCACCTGACCCCTGTCTACTGTAGCAGATCCACACCTTACTTCATTTTTCTTGCAAGAGTTATCACTACCTGAAATCCTACTATTGATGTATTTTGTTCTTTTTTATTTGTTTTCTCCCCACTTGAAATGTAGGCTTGCAGGAGGGGCAGGGCTTTGTCTTGCTCACTATTACATCCCCAGGGACTTGTAACACCTGGTACATAGAATGCTCAATGTCTATGTACTGGAAGAGTGAATGAATTCTTTGGGAACCAAATTTGAGGCAGCAAAACCACTCACACAGGCTGAGGACTAATGACTGCATCTTCCTGGACCCTTAGGCATTTTTTGGGCCCCCTGTCCTTCTATCCTCTTAGGTGTCTGAATGCTCTCCTGTACTCCCCCTCCAACTGGTCATTCTTGGGGCTGGAGTTCATCTTTGGATGCTGAAGACAGAAGAGGTGTTGGGGCTAGGGAAAAACTAGCATCATGCCTAAGTTTTGGAACCTAATGCCCTGGGGATGATGCTAGTTTTTTGAATTTGGACAAGGCCCATCATCACTTCCTATGCAAAATGTAGTTGGCTAGGAGAGTCATAGTAACCCATGTTGATGTCACCCAAAGATAGGCAAAACAGGTAACTCCAGATCAACTGGCCAAAAGCCTGAGCAGCTTTGTTGACAGGAAAGACAGCAGGAAGAGCCTCAGTCAGGATCCCTGATCTGCCCTAAGTCATGTGGGACAGTTCCCTTTGGTCATAAGTTGCACTCTTTCCACCTATGAAGAGAGTTCATAGTTTGAATAGACAATATGACATGCCTTTCTGATCTGCTTCTTGGAGAAACATTTACTCAGACTCTTGGAAAGCAAGAACATCCTATTGTTTATTCCTGGAATGGCCAAAAAGGAGTGCAAGTGAGAGGCTGGGGGGATGGGGCTGGAGATCCGAGTTCAGTGAATTATCTCTACACTCTACTTTTCCCCTGCTTCCTTCCTCTGGACAAAAACAAGCTGGCCCAGACATCCTAGAAAGTGTCCAAACTCAAGGGATCTGAGGATAGTCTGAGGCATCCTGTTGTGTAACCCAGAGGATCTGGCGAGCAGCCACATGTCCTCCAGAAGGATGATGTCCCAGTCCTCTTGGACGGGTTGTAGCCATAGCTGTGAGGTCAAGTGCTAGAAGCTGTCCTTCCTCTCCCTGGGTTCCTGGGACAATTAGGGCAAATAGGGGAAATCTAGGCACTGGGAGGCTGTGGCAAGCTGTCTGTGATTAAGCTCAGAAACAGTGTGAGCTTAGGGTCTCCTGTCAATTGGTAGGGATGCTACAGAAGGGAATAAACATGGCTGAAACGGAAGAGAGTAGTGCTCAGATGAACCAGACCAGTCAAAGGCTCCTTCCACCTTTGAGATCCTATGATTCAGGATTTTCTGTGACTTAAGCCTTTCCCTGACATGTCCAGTTGGATTCCCTGAACTTGGTAGGGGTAAGGAGAAAAGGAGTGACCAGGGTGATCAGAAAAATGCTAAGGAAAACCCAGGAGGGCAGATAGAAAAATAAGAGAGACATAGTAAAAGGAGTAATGCCAGGGATACCAGCTAGAAAGGAGGCAAGTTCAGAAGGTTTCTCTCTTTCCTGTGGGCAGAGGTAATTTTTACCCTTTTTCCTCTCTTTGTCATTATCTGTTCAAAAATGATAAAACTCTTGTAACCACCTGGAGTTAGGCTCAGGATTCTGAGGGATGAATCTATGCTGAGAGTACATTAAACTGTAAGGATGGCTGGGGAGAACAAGAACCCAGAGAAAGCAAAACTGGTAGTTGCAGGCCAAACTAGGCCAATTTCCAAGGCCTTGAGGGTAGTGACTTGGGTTAAACAAGGATCCCTTAGCAGTGACTATAAGCTGGTATGGGCACTGCACCAGAACTATTCAGGACAGGGACTATGCAACAGGAGGGAGGGAGGTCCCAGGCCTTCCTGGGCAGTATACTCCCTTCCCTGCCTAGAGACCTGGAACCTGGCTGGTGACACTGGGTTCCTGAGTGGTTCTCACCTTCTATTACCATTTCAGATCCAGCAGACCGGTGCCTGGACAAGGTGGTGTCCTGGGCCCACCAGTTCCCCTATGCCCACCCACTCTGGTTTGGACAATTCATTGGCTTCCTGAACATCTATGAGCCTGACTATGCCAAAGCCGTGTATAGCCGCAGGGGTGAGGTTTCCCTGGGAGAGGGTGGGGCTTCCTGTGAGGGCTCAGGAGACAATGTGGGAAAAAGATCAGGATCTGTGTCCAAAGTCTGGGAGGAGGATGGCCAAGTCCCCACCCTGCTTATCAACAAGCCTCTTTTTGGAACTCACTGTTCCATCTGACCCACCTCCTTCTGCAGACCCTAAGGCCCCGGATGTGTATGACTTCTTTCTCCAGTGGATTGGTGAGTGGAGCACCTGCCTTCTGGCCCCTCCCTTCCCATTTTTGAGTTGGGTGACCAGGATCCTGCCCTGCCCTGCCCTCCACAGTCAGTTGTCCCATCAGCTGGACAGCCTGGCCCCATGTGTCTGTCATAAGCTCAGTTCTCTGTAGCGAGACAAGAGGAGCAGGGGAGCTTCTAGCTGGCATGGGAAGTGGGGCCAGGCACTTTCTCTACTTGGGTCTTCATCTCCTCCCCATTTTAGGCAGGGGCAGGGCTCTGGGGAATGTTTGGGTATGAAGAATGGCTTCTTGGAGTTGCACCTACAGGAAATTTTGGTAAGTGGTGCTGTCCAGGGAAAGTGCCTGAGGAAGGGTGTGGTCGTAGGACCATGGTTGATGTCGCCAGAGGCTGAGAACTGTCTGGGTGACTGTAAGGCCGACCTCATTGGGAGATGAGGCTGGGCAGGGAGGGACTGGCCATCCTTGGCTGTCAGGATTAGTACTGTCGGTTTATGTTGAGGATGGGTGGGAGCCACTGATATTTCTGAGCCATGTTCTTATGCTTCTTAAAGTCCTTGCTTTACCCATGATCTCCAGGCGTCTCGGCAGCTTCCTGAGAGCTAAGAAAGGGCAGGGCAAGAGGAAGATAACAGTAACAAGACTGTTTACTCAGAGAGTAACACAAGGAAGTCCTTTTGTGGACTTCAGTGAGTCTTACTCTCTCCTCATCCATGAAAGGGAGGCTAAAAGGAAAGACAAAATGAGAGGCAGTTTTGAAGATAGGAATGCATTTCCAAGGCTGGGTGTGTGTAGGGGCAGGAGGATAGGGCCACAAAGCAGAAACATGACAGATTTCTCCCAAGTCCTGAAGCTGTGGCCACCATTTCAGCAACTTAGAGCCAAGACCTAGCGGGCTTCCCTCCTGCCTTGTTGTCCCTGGCAGCACATCTTCTGTGTCTGAGTCCAGTGACATATGACACAAGTTCTTGGAGCCCAGGCTTTGTGGGTGCAGTTGAGACGTAGAAAATGAGTCATCTACCCTGAGGAAGGAGTTTACTCAGCCAAGAAGTGCTGCCTCCTCTGTGTCCTGAGGTCTTGGCAGCCTGGGATGGGTTAGCAGAAGACAATACCTGGTCTTTCCAATGGCTCACTTCTGCAAGGCTCAAGGATTTAGGATGGGAGGTGGGCATCCTTGATCTTAACTGCCACGGGTGGGGCAGGATTGTCTGAATTTCCCAATTCTCCCTCTCCCATCCCTTCCCAGGAAAAGGCCTTCTGGTTCTGGATGGGCCCAAGTGGTTCCAGCACCGCAGGCTGCTGACACCTGGCTTCCATTATGATGTGCTGAAGCCTTATGTGCCTATGTTTGCTGACTCTGCACGTGCCATGCTGGTGAGCTCCCTGCAGGAGGTCGTGCACCAGCTCTCTGCACCCTCCTTTTGCCCTGGGTGAGGGCAAATTATTCTCTGCAGTGGGGAGGATACCTTGAGGTCCTGTCCACATTTTGCCTGCAACAGTGGCCAAAGTCCTGCTCTGCTGTCTCTTACTGCATGCCACTGCTGGCTGGGTGCTGAAGTTCATCATGCGCTCTTTCTTGCCAGCTAAAGAGCTCTGGGAGGCTGCAGAAAGTCCCCTAATGGAGCTGATCTGAGGGCTGCCTATATTTGAGAGTGTCAGAAATGCCCTTTACATCTAAGAGTCAGCTCCTTTTTATTGTTTGCCTACCACAACTGCCTAAACTCATCTTTAAGGCTCATCTCTAAGAGGCATGTTAGACCAGACTTGTAGTCTCAGGGCTGGACAATAAACAAGCTAGTATTTCACTTTGTAGGACACCCTACCTCACCCCAGCATTACTACAGGCCTGATTTTTAACACACACTGTGCTGGGAAGCCCACCACCTCTCGGTCCCCTGCTTCTTATATCTGCCCTATCTGGGAGAAAGTGTGTGATGGACTACATCAGTCTGCTGGTTCTGCCCTCTGAGTCTGATACCCAGAAGCTGTCCACCACACATTCCTGCAGGATGGAGGGCGGGAAAAGGACAGGGTGTTTGTGTGGAGTGGGGCTTGGTGGTGGATGATTAGCTCCAGCAGTCCTGGAGCACAGGGTGGAGTACTTAGCCCAGTTGGTGCTCACATTGCCTCCTATCTCTGGGTTACAGGACAACTGGGAGAAAAAAGCTCAGGAGAATAGGAGCTTTGACATCTTCAGTGATGTGGGTCACATGGCTCTGGACACACTCATGAAGTGCACCTTTGGCAAAGCGGACAGCGGCCTGAGCCACAGGTCAGGGGCACCTCCCAGGCTGTTCAGAAGGGGGAGCAGGCAGAGTTCCTGGTCATGCCTGAGAGAAGATACAGGCCTCACTCACGGTGGAGAGACACATTTGGCATTAGTGAGGAGGCTTAAGGGAGGGAACAGGAGGAGCAGGAATCCTCTCCCTCTGCTGTGGTTGGGTGGGATTCCTGGAAGGTAGACGCTCAGGGATCTGTCCCCCAGTCAGTGTCTGAGCTGCTCCTCCCTGCACCCCCTGTTGTACAGGGACAGTGACTACTACCTGGCAGTCAGTGACCTCACACTGCTGATGCAGCAGCGCATTGACTCCTTCCAGTACCACAATGACTTCATCTATTGGCTCACTCCACATGGCCGCCGCTTCCTGAGGGCTTGCCAGACAGCCCATGACCATACAGGTGGGCCTTTCCCACAGGGTCCACCCCTAGGAAGCCTGGGTTCTTCCTCTGGGATCTTCTGTGTCCCTCCTAGTGCAGGACTTCAATTCCCCTATGGGTAGGGGATGGTTCCCAGGCAGTGACACCTGTGCTCCTGGACCAGACCAGGTCATCAGGAAGCGGAAGGAAGCCCTGAAGCATGAGAAGGAGCAGGAGAAGATTCAGAACCGAAGGCACCTGGATTTCCTGGACATTCTCTTAGGTGCTCAGGTGAGTGCACATGTCCCACCAGAGGGTTGGTTCCAGAGGGGTCCTCAGACCAACATTCTAGGACCGATTTACTGCTCAGCAGAAGGGGCTGTTAACCCTCCCTCCAGCAAATATAACCTATTTTTTGTCCCATGACACCTGCCAATCAAGGTGTAGAGATGCAATTGTGTATGGCTGGGTTGTGACAATAAGAAACTGGGAGCCTTGTCATATGGTAGCAGCCTGGAGACATTTCAAGATTTCTAAGATTCCTTAGTCTTGGCATTGTAGGATCTTCAAATTCAGATTTTGTATTCATTCCTTTTTTCCTTCACTCCATAAACTCACTGAGCACATATCCCGAGGTAGTTCCTGTGCTAGGCTACAGAGATGGGAAAGACCTGGCTCTGTCCCCCAGGTGCTTACAGTCTAGTGGAGGGGTTAGTAGGCAGATATTGACAAAGATCTCTTCCTCTTCTGATTGGCATTCTGTGTGCTAAGTTAGCAGAGCTTTCAGTCAGGGCTGGAGAAGGACACAGGTCTCTTGGCCAGAGGGGTCAGGGAAGGCTTCACGGAGCAGGCTAGGTTCAGAAGAAAATTAGGAATCTGAGGGCAGGTCCTAACCCCCAGTTGGCCAAGCAGCCTTCGTGCCCTCTCTCAGTCCTGCATTTGAAAACTAGCACAGAATTCTTGGCATCTACCTGAAAGACCTTGAGCTGCCCCATTGTGCCTTAACCCAGGATGAAAGTGGGACCATGCTGTCAGATGCAGACCTTCGGGCTGAAGTGGACACATTCATGTTTGAAGGCCATGACACCACCACCAGTGGTATCTCCTGGTTTCTCTACTGCATGACGCTGTATCCTGAGCACCAGCAGCATTGCAGGGAAGAGGTCCACGAGATCCTGGGGGACCAGCACTCCTTCCAGTGGTGAGTGAGGCTGAGGGTGAGCCAGTCCATCTTGCTACTGGATAGAATAGAGAGGACTGGGAGAAAAAATGGAGGAAATGAAGGATGAACAGAGATAAGACAGCTGGGAGAGCCAGTCCCTTGCCACCTGCCTGTGGTGGCAGCACATAGTCTCCAGATTCCACACTTCTAGCCCTGACAAGGGAGAAAAGACTGTTTCCTAAACAACATCACTTAATACTTTCAAATGTTTCTCCATTTCTTGGTTCAAGTCTGAAGTCCTGAGCATGACACTGAGTGAATCAACCTCTCTTTGTAGCATGATTTCTGGGAATCGCTCACAGGCTTCCTCCACTGCCTCCTCCCCCTTAAGCCTTTGCATCTTGTCAGGCACCTCACCTTTCTGGGCTCCTCAGCTGCCTTCAGCATAGGGCTAGGCATACACAGAGGTGCAGAAAATGCTCAGTCAATGATAGAATTTGGGGAATGGAGTTCTCCATTACTCGTTATTATTGGTTAGATGCTGGAAACTTTCCAGGGTGTCCAGCCTTGTGCCAAGTGCTATCTAGGGTACAGGTGGGAAAAGGAGGAGGAGCCAAAACTGAAAATCGAGAGAGCCAGATATTCTAGGCTGAGAAACAAAGTGAATATAACCCGAGACAGTGGGTTAAGCTTTTTTTTTTTTTTTTTTGGCATTTCTGATGCCAAAACTTGGGGCTTCACACTTATGAGTCAGGCACTCTATTGTTAAAGCCATGCCTCCAGCCCTTTTGCTCTGGTTGTTTTGGACGTAAGGTCTTGCTTTTTTGCTCAGATCTGCCTAGGCCATAATCATCCTGTTTTAAGTTTCCCACTGCTGGGATGATAGGCATGCACCATGCCCACTTTTTATTTCCATTAAGATAAGCCTGTAAACTTTTTTCCCAGGCTGGCTGTGATCCTCCCAATGTGAACATCTATCTGTTGAGATCCTCCCAATCTCAGCCTTCCAAGAAGCTAGGATTGTAGGCAACAGCCAGCAGTCCCTGGCTGAGTTAAACATTTAAAATAAATTCCCTTAATTCCATCTAGAACTGGAAACAACTTAGAGGACAATTACTCAATAAAATAGTACAACAAATGAAAAGTCAGGAACTAGGAGACATGACTTAGAATTTAGGACTCTGTAATAATTTATTACACAGTGTTACAGCTGAGCCTCACATTTGGATCTGAGCTTTCTAGTGGCCAAAGAGAAAAGATGTACACACACCCACACACACACAGACATGCACACACACCCACACACGTGCACGCGCACACACACACACACACACACACACTTTATCATTATTCACTCAAATAATTCATGAATATTCAATCAGCATGTATCAGCCCCTGTACTTTCCATTTCAAATCCACAGGGGAAACCAAGCAGAACCTAAAGAACTGTCACCTGTGGGACTTCCATGGACCCCAAGAGACAAAGAAGTGGAAGTGACCCTTTGATGGTTGGGTGCATATATCTTTAGGGTCCTGTGCTTTCCTCTCCTAGCAGTGAAGATGAGAAGCTGGAGGGAAGTGGAGCCAGTTCCTGGATTTGAGTGGACACTCTGGCCTGTTCTTTATCTGACTCTTGGATATATGGTGGTAGTGAGGGAGAAAGGTGATATGGTTGGTGAGGTGGTGAAGTTTGGGCTGGGGCTTGCCTTCTCCTGGGACCCTGGTAGTCTCAATTCTCAAATGTTTTGTGTTGTGTCAGGGATGATCTGGGCAAGATGATCTACTCGACCATGTGCAGCAAGGACAGTTTCCGCCTCTACACACCTGTACCCCAGGTGTACCGCCATCTGAGCAAGACTGTCACCTTTGTGGATGGCCGCTCTCTACCTGAAGGTGGGATGGGGTGGTTTTGGAGGTAGAATCAGAGTCCTCTGGATGCTTCTCTGACAATCCCAGTGCCTTTGACCAAATATTTGCACCAAGAGCTCAGGCTCTGTCTTCAGAGAGCCCTGGGTCCAAGTTCCAGCTCTGGAACATATGAAGTTTCCTTTAGCTTTAAGCCTCTGTTTCCTCTTCTGAAAAATGGGAGTGAGAAGAGTACCTACTTTTAAAGGTTGCTATCACAATTACAGAGACAATGTTTAGTAAGGCTCTCTTTTTACCACCGTGACTATCCAGGTTGTTCTTTGTACAACTTTAAGAGGATGACTCATGTTAGCTATGATGCTGTGCAGTGTGTAACATGTACAACTGTGGCTTCATAAAGAGTGTTTAGGCCTGTTTCTGACTTGTAGTAATCACCCAGTGAATGGTAGTAATTACTATTGATATCATAATGTTATGAACAATAACTTCCTGAGAGTTAGTTAATTGAAAAGCAGAAAGGCTATAATAATTCTTTGCCTGTCCTACTTTGTGGCTGGTTGAGGTCATTTCTCCTTTTTTCTTCATTCCACAAATATCTGTGTCAGATGTTATGCTCAGCTCTGGGGCTATGGGAATTAGGCCCAGATGGTCAAAGTATTTGATGAGCTGAGTGATGAGATAAATCAAGAGCTCGTCATTACTGGCAGTGTTCAGATGGGGGCTAGTGCCCTAAGAGGAAAGACACTAGGGAATATGTGGAGACTGCTCTGGAGGCCCCAGATCATTGGTCACCAGGCTTCTTTTCTGTCTGCAGGCAGCCTGATCTCTCTGCACATCTATGCCCTCCATAGGAACAGTGCAGTATGGACTAACCGTGAGGTACTCCATGTCTGAGCCTGGAAGTCAGACAGAATGGGGAGGGAGCACAGGAGTTACCCTATGCCAGGATCTGGGGAGTATTTAAGCAAGTCCTGTCCCCTTAGGTTTGACCCACTGTGCTTTTCCTCTGAGAATGTGACTGGATGCCACCCCTTCACCTTCTTGCCCTTCTCTGCTGGCCCCAGGTAGGGAAGGCCCAGCATCCCCAGATCTTCAAGATAAAGAGAAGGACATCATAGGGGAGGCATCAATTAGGGTGCACTGTAATGAGGGGATCATGCATATTTTGTGCTATCATAATACAAGATAAATTTCAAGTACCCTCTTGTTATTATATTTCTGTCTCTGAGAAGTGGGTGACGTGGATGGGTCATTCCAGGAGAGACCCCCAGGCCAGAACCTCAATGTGAAGCTACTCAGTTAGGGGCCCTCACTGTGCTCTCAAGATATGTTTCTTTAGTCCAAGTCAATCAATATATTAGCAAATTATGCATCCAAAATAGTTATTGGCCACTAACAGCACTGAATTTCATCACTCTGGACATCCCATGGTCCCATGCCTCTTTGTGCTGCTTACTCCAGGAATTGCATTGGGCAGCAGTTTGCCATGAAGAGATGAAGGTGGTCACAGCCCTCTGTTTGCTCTGCTTTGAGTTCTGTCTGAATCCCTCCCAACTGCCTATCAAGATGCCCCACGTGGTCCTGCGCTCCAAGAATGGTATCCACCTCCATCTGAAACCGCTGGGCCGTGGGTCTGGGAAGTAGCTCTGAAGAGAGCAAACCCAGACAGCCTAGGCTGTGCCCTCTTACTGGGCACTGGCCTCCTAGATTGAATGTGGAGTAGTTGTGGCTCCCTACTCTTCAGGAGGCTTGTAGTTTGGGAAGGGCAGTGTCTCAGAGAACAGTGCCTTGTAAACATGCATGTTAAGAAATTTTTGTTATTCATTCCTCCTCAAGCATTTGATGAGCACCTAATTTGCTTTGAGAAATTTCATTTAGCTCCCATAATCTGCAGTCTTTCTAATGTACAGCAGAAACATACATTTCGGCCTTGGAGACTATTACTGAATGCAATGGACACTCTGCCTGAGATTCACAGTATCTCATGGTGTGGGAGAGAAGGACAGCTCAGGGTGTTGCCTTTTCATTGAGATGTGTTTCTTCTTTTAATATAATGGACATAAGGGAAAATCACCTGACCCACCACTATACAAAATAAAGATTAATATGAAGATGGTTTCATGAGTATGTCTTCTGCCTCTCTGGAATAGGTCTCTGTGGAGTTTCTGTCATTTTTAGTATTGGTATCTCATAGTCATTTGGTGCTCTGCACACTTAGGGTTTGACTGGGAAGGTGGCAGAGTGACATTACAGGGGAGTTCCAGGAAGAAGGAAGCCCCCCTTGCATCAGGCCTTGAATCATGGGTGAGGTATGAAGGACTTTTGGGGAGGGCCTCAAGCTGTGGGCCAAACAATGACTTAGAGGTCTTTCCCTAGTAAGTCCTGTGGCAGCTGCTTGGTGACTGTGGGCACAAACACCTCCAGGGATCAAGGTCTAAGGCCACTAGTCGGCTCCAATTCAGGAATTAGATATATGTAGAAGAAAGGGCCCTGGAGACTCGGCTAGGGGACAGGAGAGAGGAATTCTAGTCCTGGGACTTGGTGCTATCTTGATGGTGCCCTGAAGGATGTGCCATTGGGAGATAAATCCTTTCTGCTATTGATAAGGTAATCTTATAAGACAAAGGCCACAGCCTTGGTAGGTCTGCCACCAGCCATCTGTCTACTCCTGCAAGGCCTGTTAAGGCCCAGCCATTCCTGTTAATGGAATGCAGAAGACTCAACCAGGGTGTGCCTCTCAGCTGTCAGCCCTATGCTACCAACTTCCTCTTCTGTCTTGGCACCTGTACAGACTGTCCTCTGTACATGTGACAATAAGGTTTCAGCAGTCATCACCCGGGAGCCAAGCCTAGAGGTCATTACTTCCTTGTATTCCTGGGTGGGACCTGAGTTTAAACTGCATCCAATGTCCATATCTCTTTAAATCTTTACAACTCAGGCAGTCACCAACTATGGACTGGGTGATGGTGCCCCTGATCCTGGTGGGAGGAGAGCATGATCTCATATCAATATTAAGAGAAAGGACTTGAGAGACACACATGTAGGTTGAACTGTGCTGAGGTCTCCTGATTCTGGTGTCTTCTGATCAAGACTCACCCTAGGTTGTGTGTCAGTGGGAAATAGAGTCAGAACTCGGACTCCACTTACAATAGTGTCAAAGAGGAGGGGAGGATTCCTTGGGGATAGAGTGTGGAGACTGGGACTGATGAGCATCACAGTTGAATTCTGAGTGTCATAAAATGAATTTACTTAATTTTTCTAGCTCTCCAAACACATCCCTTCTGCCTACTGTGATCCTGGAAATGCATGGGCAGAGTGTGGAGGCAGCAACGGGTGTACACAGGAGTGGTTTACAAAAGTTCTTTATGTGTGGTCACAGGTGTGTGTATGTGCATGTGTGTGTGTATTTGTGTGTGTGTGTGTGTGTGTGTGTGTGTGTGAATTAGGCCTGGGTCTTGCCCATGGCTTGGAGGTATCAGAGTCACTTCATCACACATACACCCCATGGAATCCTGTGCTTAAAGCACTTGTTTTTGGCTGGCCACCAAGTATTATGAGTTCCTATTGTCCCGTGCTCTCTGAGCAAGGCCAGCATGAGCCTTCTATACCATTTGATGAACATTCTGTCCACGACACTCCAGACTTTCACTCCTGCCCCACCAATGCTCCCCTCTCCCCTCAGTGAAGCACTGAGCCTCCAGCCTGCCATCTCCTGCCCCTCCTCAGAGCAAGGCTGATCTATCCTAGTGACCTGGAAGGCCAGAATCTTAGGAAGGAGGTCCTGGCTGTAGGTACTGACTTTGAGAGAAGCCCTTGCAGGAAGTAGAACGTGTCACAGCAGGGAAGGCAGGCAGAGGATTCCAGGCAGTACAGTTTATGGCATCAAAGACCCTGAGCTAGGAATGGCTTGCGGCATCAAGGGAACCTGTGCTCAACACAGCAGCAAGAGAAGCAGGGTCTAGTTCCAAAGACACTAGTGGAAGTAAAGGCACTGGCCCAGGAAAACTGGTGGGAGTGCATAAGGGGATGGCCTGGGTCTCAGGTCTTAGGGTCAGGAACACAAGTACCCCGTCATCTTCCTCAGTGCCCAGTCTGGGAAAGCAAGGAAACATCACAGGACCGTCCTATAGGGTAGAATCTGCTTGAGATCTGACATCCTATATTACTGGCCTGACCCATTTGCCCACCTGGGCTCCTCCTGGCCTTTGTTGGACAAATGTCCACTCTCCTGAGCTTCCTGAGGAGCTTTCAGATCCTAGGTGTGAGGAAGGCTGACAGGTGATTGGTGATATGACCAGCTGGACTTTCAACTCATGTCTTATTGGGTCTGTGAGGAGGAGTCCCAAGCTTGTAAGTCATGTCAGAACAAGCTTGTAAGTCTATCCTGCTCAGCTTAAGAGGAACTCTATCTGGGATTTATTCTGGAAAGTTGTGTGAGGCCAGAATGAAGGTCTGGTCTCTTTCCTGAACAGGTGTAAGCTTCTCCCTTTGAGTTCCCTGAGAAAATTCTTCCTCAAACTTGGCTGTGTGGGGGTCTCAGCTCCTGGGCAGATGGTTGGCCTCAGGGAGCACAATGGCTACTTGGAGGGGTTAGGCCATGTCAGGTCAGGTTGGGTCCTGGCACTACAGGGCAGACATCTCCTCCTTCTTCCTCAGAAGGGACTTGTCTCCTCTGTCTCTTTGACCCTCTGTCTCTCTATTTTCCCTCCATCCCATTCCAAGGAAGACAGGCAAAACATGTGACACGGGGAGATTTATTGTAGGGAGGAGGGAAGATGGAGAGGCTTGTGTGAGAGACAATCAGAGACTATCCTGGAAATATTTAGATGGACAGATTGGGTAACAGGTAAAGACTTGTGATAAGCTGAATAATGGCTTCCTACTATGTGTAAGTCCTAAACTTTGGAGCCCATGAATATATTAACTCATATGTCAAAAGGAACCCTGAGGTTCTGATTAAGTAAAGGATCTTAGCTGGAGAAATTGTCAAAGATTACTTGTGTGTGCATGTATGTGTGTGTGTGCGTGTGTGTGTGAGTGAGTGTGTATTCAGGGCCCCAGGCTTGCCAGGCAATGCTCTATGACTTGAGTTATACCTCCAACTCTTTTTAAAAGTTGTTTTCCCAGACAGGGTCTTCCATTTTCCCCAGGGTTGGCCTCACACAACTATCCTACTGTGTCTCCCATATAGCTGGGATCACAGGCATGTGCCACAATGCCTGGTTTATTGGTTGAGATGGAATCTTTCTAACTTTTCTGACTGGACTGACCTCAAACTGTGATCCTGCCTAACTCTGAGATTACAAATGTGTACCACTATTCTCAGCAGAGGGGGAGGGAGAGAGAGATTTGAAAAAGATCTAGCTTTAATGAGGGAGGAAAAAGCCAAGAAATGCAAGGAATGCAGCTGTAGACTGAAGAGGCAAGGTAAGAGTTCTCTCCTAGACCCTCCAGAAGAAGGTTGGCTACTTTGACAACTTGATTTTCTCCCAAGGCTCTCATTTCAGACTTCTGAGCCCCAGAATTGTAAGAGAATAGCCTTCTGTTATTTAAAAGCACTGTGGTTGTGGCAGGTGATTACAACAGCAATGGGAAACTCATACAGAGAAAAATAAAAAGGCAGAAAGAGAAAAGATCTGTAGAGGGACAGGCAGGCTGTAGGGCAGGAAGGTGATCAATGGTTATGTGGACATTCAAAGATGTCAGTGGGAGATAGGCAGACAGACAAGCAGGTAGGGAGCCTGGAGGAAGGTGAGAGACAGAAAGGGTAGACAGACAGGAGGATAGAAGGCAGGTCAGCAGGAGGTGGGAAGAAAGACAGGTGAGCAGATAGAAAACAGGATGTGAACAAACAGGCAGGGAACAGGAACAGGTGATGAGAACACAAAGAAGACAGGCGGAAAGCCCCCAGAGCCTGTCCGTATCCCTTCCAGAGTTAGTGGAGCTTCCTGAGATGCAGATGTATCCCATTCTTGGACTTTAACACTAGTCGTGGTGTGAGGATGGGGACCCTGGTGAGATCTGGCAGCAACTCAAAGCGGAGCAGGGTCAGGGCTACAGCCACCTTCAGCTCATTCATGGCAAATTGTTTCCTGATGCAGTTTCCAGGCCAAGCAGGGACAGTGAAATGAGACATGGCCTTAGGCCATGTTCTGAGCTGGGCAGGCATTGCCCCTGAGTTCCAGCTCATAACTGGGCATTCAGGGTCCTCCTTGGGGCCAGTCTGATCCCTTTCCTTACAAGTCACACAGACCTCTCCCTCAGGTCTTGGTTCATACTTTCCTGACCTTTGACAAGGCCTCCCAGTCTGCCAGGACTATCCCGACCCTACTCCCAATCTCAGGCAGAAATCTCTGTTAGGACAAGGCCAGCACAGAGTCCAACTGCATGAATAATTTAGAAAGCTAATCACTGGTTAGTTCACTCCATCTGGGGAGATCCAGGAATTGAGATCCTCCAAGGGGTATCAGATGTCCCTGAGAAAGCTCCTGGACAGGGCAATGGGTTTGGGCCCCATCTGCCTCATACTCAGTGGTGGTCAAGTTCCAGCTGACCTCCTCATCTCCTCTCCTAATTATACTCAGAAAATGTCCTTTCTTCCATATTCAGTTTCCTGTTCTGGACTTCTCTCTTCTCCTTGACCC